CCAGATTTACTTTCTTAATTTAGCCATTGTCAGGTTGGCCTCAACTTACAGGCAGCCAGTAAAACCTTATAGCTCTTTAGCTTTTTGCCACTCAAACACTTTCTAAGCTTGAACTGTAACAGCTATTTACAGAATACATCCCTCCTTTGTGTTACATTCCTCTGTCCTCTGCAACTGCTCATCTTTGCTGCTCAACTTTAGGGAAATTAACAATATGTGATGACAGCTTTCACTTGCATTAACCCTGCCATCCTCTTACAAGGTCCTCATGCAAGTCTGACACACGTCTGAGACATTCTCAGTCAGCAGTAAACATGAGGGTGCATTACCCGGAAATTACAGTGGAGGGCGACTGTAGCACGCAGTGTGGTTGTTGGGCGGCGAGAGTCCACTGGCAGAAACGTTACTATTCTGCTCTAAATGTGGATCTAAGTGGTGTAGCTGGAGCTCAGGATGTAAATACTGCACCCTGATCCCAGTAATGTCTGTAGTGGCTGAAGTGTAGACTGAAGTGACCACAATCCGTCTACCTGACTGCCGTACACTCAATGGCCGCTGGATATATTTTATATTCTTGTGCATATTTAGCATTACACCACTGCTTGGTCTTTCTGTAGTTAACAGAAAACAGAGAAGCTCCACATCACCACAAACCATCACAGTAACAGATTTCCAGCTTGCTACATTATTTCTGCATTGCCCCATCTGCAGGCAAGATGCGTGGATGTGCACATGTATTGAGAAGCAAAAGTAAAGTAAAGTTTATTGTGTCCCTGAGGGGAGGTTTCGTCTTGAGCACAGTGCTACAGTCCAGTGCTTTACATAAAAACATAGGCACATCATAGAAACATAAGAAGCATGTGACACAATGATAGGCAGTTTTCTTCATATATAAAAAAAAAAGGAGATAGGGACGTTAAATCATTGTTCAAGTACGCCAGATGTTCCTCAGAGTGTCATCTTAAATGTATGTGTGTGCGTGTGTGCAGCTGCTTCATCCACACTGACCTGTAATACTTCTGTTTTGGAAATGCAGGAAAGGCTTGTTTCACTGGGATTACACACATGTAAAGACAATCTGTATCCAAACAGAAGCCAAATGTAGTCAAAGCTGTTTCATAAACTGGGGTTTCTGCTCAGTTCACATATGACTGAGGCAGTTGTCACCAGTCTTTGGTTGATAAAAACTTCAAGACACTTCACGGTGCAGAGATTTAACAGACAGCTCACACCCACATACAAAGTCATGAGAGCGTACAGTAATGTAATGCACTCACACAACTATTCTCACACTCCCTCTTTAGTTACGGACAAAAGGAGGTTCTCCATTTAAACTCTTTTCCCCCACTGATGTTACATGACGCCCCCCTCCCTCTCCTCTCTCTCCCTCAGTCCCCCTCTGCTATAAATTTCACCCTGTCTTTGCTATTCAATCATAAATCATAAATTCCCTTCCTCTTTCTCTCTTGCTCCCCCTTTCTTTTTATTACACAATAGCCCAGACTTTATGTCAGAGGGCAGTCGTGTTTAATATGTGTGTGCATGTGCATGTGCATGTGCATGTGTGTGTGTATCTTCTACCGCAGCCTTTCCTGTGACCCTGGGTCCCCACCCCACTGGCTGCACCAGTGAGTTTGTCCAATGCAACTCACACACACACATACACGTTCACATGAATATGCACACACTGGAACATACGACACACCCTCACATGCACACGAACAGGAAGCGGCGCGTTAACACACACATACGCACCCAAAGTTACAATATTGCCTTCATTATTTTCTGTGCAAACTAAGTATCCCTGCACGCACAAGCGCTTGTAGTCCCAGGTCCTGTTAACACTCACCACTGGGGTGCTGTTAACACTCCGCCTGCAGTAAGCAACAGGCCCGCAGTATGGTCAGTCCTAACAAGGACTTTGGTGAACACGGAAAATATATTCCTGCTACACATTTGTTCCAGAAACCCTCTAAGAAAACAAGAGGTCAGGAGGTGCAGACATTTCTGCTTCAGCCTCCCCTCCTCTTGTGATTCCCTCTTGAGTGTTTCGCACTGTGGCCCTCACACGTCCAGACTCTGGGCCCCTTGTTTGTTTAAAGTGTTGGCTTGAAAAATGGTGTAAAAAAGAAAAAGAAAAAGAAAAAAAGAAAAAAAAAGTCATGCAGTATTTTTACAAGGAGATTTATTGTAGGAGAAGTTGTATAATTATTAACACTTTATCGCAAACAATACTAACGCAGTGTAAGTCTGCATGTTCGTGACCATTATTCACCTTGATTCCAAATGGCGTGTCATTGTTCAGCACATTTTACACTTTGTTTTGTCAAAAGATCACAAAACTCTAGTTTGAAATCTCAGCTCAAGGTCCACTTACTCGCTTTCTGAAGTTTTTTGGCCATATCAGACTCAAGTCTTTCAGACTCAGACTCAAACTTTCCCCTTATTCTGAGCACCTATAGGATTTAAAACTGTGTCTACGAATCAAGGTTGTGTGACTGGGATGAAAGCTACAGAATCAAACACATCACACGGTCATGAATGAACTTTCATGCTGAACTTTTAAGCCGGCATGGATGAGAAGTCCAAGAGGTGCTGAGCGTCTTCAGTTCCGTGACAAATGAGCAAACTCCACGTGATATGCGAAAAATAAATGAGTAAGTGGATTTTTAGCTGAGATTGTTTTTGATGACCAACTGGACCGCCTTTGATGGAAAGAGAGCACACAGACGCCAAGACAGTCGGATCTTTGTCAGGTCAGATGTTTAAAAATGGCTCCCACATCCATAAGTTGTACATAAGTCAATGAATATTAAAAGTCTCCACATGATGGCATATTTTTCTGTTAAAGGATTGTTTGACATTTTGGGGAAACACACTTAGTTAAAAGGATATTGATACTCTCCCGCCTCCGGCCTGAAGAATTAAACCATTTGCTTTAACATGCACTGACATAAACATATGTCGTGGTGAACACAATATCATCAACAACAGTGTAGCATGTGATGCTATCTGGTGGGGAAGTAACAGGTTTTCTCTCAGGCTGTGGCTATTTAGAGGACCTGGAGGAAGAACAGTGTTTTACATTGTGTGTGTGTGTGTGTGTGTGTGTGTGTGTGTGTGTGTGTGTGTGTGTGTGTGTGTGTGTGTGTGTGTGCGTGTGTGCGTGTGTGCGTGCTTGCATGTGTATGTTATGGGTGTGTTTCCGTTGCTCGAGGACTTCCAGGGTCCCAGAGATAATGTGGAATTCATGAGAAGAATGCAGCATAGGGGGTTCCTTCCTGTCACCTGACTCCATCACTTCCTGCATTGGGCTTCCTTCGTCTGGACCTCCACGGAGAAGGGTGAAGCTGCGTCTCGACAGCGGTTCAGGTTCTGTTTCATAATTCGGTCTCTCTGAGGTGATGGGGGAGCTTTGAATGACCCCACCCACTCCCCCGTATAATGCAGATAAGGACGCAGCTGATTGCTGTGTCGGGCAAGTGCCCAAAATCATGAAAAGCCCAGATTTCATAGCTTCATCAAGCTGTTGAAATGCTGCCGCCAGAGTGCTAATGTTGCTCATTAGAAAATGAATTGGAGCAAATGAATGCGGGCAAGGGATCAAATAAAATTGATTAAACAAAGGAAGAGAAAAGAAAAGAAGAATGCCTCATAAAAGAGGGAATGGAGATATGAAGGGGAACAATAAAAGAGGCAATAACATGAAAGAAAGAAGGAGAATGAGAAAGCGAAAGAGAGGTGATGGCAGGATCCATATGGGGCCTCTTGGTTTTTGGGCAGCAAGGAGAGACATGCCAGGTAATGGCTTCCAGACTCACTCAGTCTCTCTCACACACACACACACACACACTAATTCGATTTAGAAATCTGACAGGACAAGGAGACTGAGTGTATGTGGATGTGTTTGTATATACCAGGGGCCTTTTCTTTTGCGTACTCAAGAGGTTTGACTTCCTCTGCCCATTGGGAGTGGGGCCGGCTAGTCTCACTGTGTGTGTGTGTGTGTGTATTACAAGCACTGGGGGTTAATGTGTGCTTTCAATCACAGCTCTAGTGGGGAGAAATCAGATCCCTGCAGCGCTGATGTGGATTCCAAGAGCCACACACACACACACACAAACACACACACACTAAGAAAACATACTCACAGATATCAGGCTAGAGTGCAGCAAATGCATTTATCTACGGTTTAAGCATTGTACTGATTTTCATTAAGGGACCAGTTTGACATTTTGGAGGACAGCCTACATGATTTGCTTTCTTGGCTTTCTTCTAAGCTAACTGGCTGCTGGACGTTGCTTCATATTAAATGGTCACATATGAGAGTTTTCTCCTACTTCTGATCCAAGTCTCAGCAAGAAAGTGAAGAGCCCAACTATTCCTTTAAACTTGACTGAAACATTTGGAGTGACTCACCTGTTTTCTTCTCTCTCTATAAAACACTTTCAGAGGTGCTCACAGAAAACGCTGGGCGGTTTTCAGTGTTGTGTTGGGTTGACTGAACACACCTGGCTCTTTCCTGCTTTTGTCTGCAACATTAGAAAGTTGTGCTTAAATGTTATGAAGAGGTCAAGGGGAGAAGCTACAGCGTGAAATGAAGTGAAGGGATGAAGGCAAAGAAGTGGAAGGAGACAAAGAAAGGAAAACGCAAAACATGCATGTGAGGAGAAAAGGGAATGAAAGAGAAATGGAGGGAGGTCGAGATGAAAAGAGAAGCAAAGAGGAAGACAGGAAGAGCTAATTAAACAGAGGAAGGATAGATGTGGAGGAGTGGGCGGGGAGAGAAAGGGCAAGATGACTTAACTGGGATACACCGCCTGCTCAAGATTACTCCACCCTCACACACACACACTCAGCAGTTTCCCAGTGAGGTAAATCCCCAGTATTCCCCCTCCTATGCACTGTCACAGCCCTCCCACTCCTGCAACTGGTGTGTGTGTGTGTTTGTGTGTGCGTGTGTCACCACTTTTCTCTGACATTCCTGTGCAGAGCAGAGAGAGACGGTGAGCTCGGCTGCAGGGAGACAGGACTACGAATCCAACTCGGAAGGATTTTCTCAAAAGAAGAAGAAGAAGAAGAAAAACCGATCCCCGCAGCTTGTTGTGATCGCTGATTTGGGAATTTCAATTTTGGGAAAATCTGCCTGCAAGTCAGTGGAAAAGTCTTCCATTCTCAACAAGGGGTTTTCTAGAAAAGCATCCTCACAGTTTCCTCCTCTTTCTTTTCCATCTCCATCTCTTCCCTGGAGGCAGATTCCAAACTTCGGACTGCTGACTTCCAGGGTTTGGGAATACATTTGCAGAGGCAAAAAAGGACAAGGGCATAGTGTTGCAACAGCATACAGAGGTGAGTTAACATTAAATTGTTGATGACATGTAGCTCTTGTTCCTATGGAAGTTGATTGCACTTTTTAAAAGCTATTTTGAACGAAGTTTTTCAACTATAAATTTGCATGTTTGTAGTGTGTAGTGTAGCTTTTGTCTTCCTAGTAAATCTACCAGTAATAGTCACAAAATTCCCCCATATACTTCAAAGTGAGAGAGCCTCATTGTTAATGGTGCATGAAAGTGGAGTGTGTTGCACAATGTGTCTCTAATGTAACATCTCTGGGGGGTTGGAGTTGCTTGTTCTGCTGATCCCCTGCAAGACTCCGCTCGTGCGTCTGAGAGAGGGAGACAAAAGTAGAGAGACTGGAGGGGCGAGGGGGTGTAAACCATCCACTGCACATTGAGAGTTAAGAGATGAGGGGGATGAGAGAGAGAAAGCAGAAAGAGGGAAAGAAAGAGAGAAGTGCAGCATATGTGCAAGAGAGATGAAGCAGAGGAGGGACGTGGAGTTTCATCCTCTCCCTGGTTTTATCATTCAGTGCGAGGACAATGCCAAATTTGATGCGAACATGCACAAGCACACATTATATTCAAAAGTTTGAATAAATGCACACAGCTGTTGTACATGCGTATACACAAAGGAAGGATGTCAAACCAACTTCTGGCCTCTCTCACTTTCTCTCTCTACACACACACATGCACAAGAAAGAGATTTAAACAAACACAGCTTTGTTTGATTGCACTCATCTGTTTAGTTTGCTCCCAGCTTAGATCACAGACTGATCCAGTGCTGCAATCCAATACAGTCATACAGTCACACACACACACACACACACACACACACACACACACACACACACACACACACACACACACACACACACACACACACACACACACACACACACACACACAACATACAGACAACTCACTAATTAGATGATTATATGAATAAAAACAATTGAAATGCACACATTCGTCAGGTATAAATGTGAGAGTATTTTGAATAAGTGCACATTATCATTCATGCTACTGTTAACTGTCTTACTCATCCATATATTGTTTTGTTTGTTTAACCCAGATAAAATGTTGTCTTATGTCATAGTCATATATCAGTAACATACTGTAGCCTACGTGTTATTCGGAGGAGATTCTGATCCATAAAATGAGACCTGAAATCTTGACACTGCAGTCACTCAGTGACCTCTGAGCAGCTGGAGTAGCTGCAAGTTCGAAGTTCAAGTGCGCAGTGACAGTTGCTGTTGTTGGGGTGTGTCTCGTTCACTTCCCCTCCTTGTCTGACAAATGTCTTTGCTGTGTCTAAAGTCGCTCTCTATTTGGTAAATTTATTTTTTTGCCATTGTATTTGAGGTCTGAATTCTCAGTGTAAAATATGAGCCACACACTTTACTCAAGGGACAAAATTACAGTAATTCATTAGTGTCCAAAAGTTGAATTTACTGCTCTCAATAGAATATATTATTGAGTGTTTATGTCAGAGATGGCAATTTAGTGAACAAAGAGAGTGATTTTGGACACACTGGTCACACCCTCTTATCTCTGAGCTATCACTTTTATTTTATTGTACCTCTGTATAATGTGCCATACGAGACTATTGTTATTACATCCATTTACCATTTGCCACTCATTGAAATAAATAACTTAAAACGCCACTCATCAATATTTTATATGTTAACAATGTCTCCCTTACCTGTGTGTAATCTGAAAGAGATCACTCGTAGTGATGAGCTCACATATAATTATCACTGGACTCTGCAGCTCCCCTCAGCCCTGTGGAGCATTTTGACGTCTGTCAGCACATCGTTTTGGTTTATCGGCTGACTTTACTGTTATGGTTCACTCCCATCTACCTAATTTCCTGGCAGCTGTTGTTACCATGAAACCTCTGAACAAACCACGCTAACCAGTGCACTACCTGCCCAGCACCAAACAACAGATAGACAGAGTTAGCAACTAGCTGATAAACATTTAGCACCAAAAGAGTCAGATATTTCCCTCAGGAGTAAGTGGAGACCAAAACAGAGTTTCCTATATTAGTAATTCCATATGCTTCATGTTGTTTCTCTGCAGACCCTGGCTCCTGTAAAGATGGCTGACGTGGTGCAGCCAGACCCAAACAGCCTGCAGATACCGGGTGAGATGCACATACATATTCGCACACTTAATTACTATGGCAACCAGGTCAAAATGACTCACTTCTCCTCCTTTATCTCCTGGAGTGTTAACATTCTGAACTTTCCATGCCCCCCTCCCACTTAAATTACTCACATCAGATTCCAGTGACATTCCAGTCATTCCAGTTCATTACAGATATTCAATCTCACATCTAGAGAGCCTCGGGTCAAGTGTGTTAACGCCCCCTTGCTCATCTCCACAGTGAAAAATAAGGTGTTTTCTGCATGTGTACTTGTATGTTAGTATGAGCATGACATGACAGTCCAGTAACGGTTGTTTCCTTTTGATAAGAGTTTTCCCAAGGCTGCATATCACCTTAAACAACACTGATTCTGGACTGTTCTGTTCGTGGAGTATGTGTGGTGCTTTTACAACGCTGAAACACAATTTATAGTGAGATTCTAATTTTCTCTTCTCTTCTCAGGTGATAATTTATCAGCCCCTTCGTCGCCTGCCACGGCGAGAAATGACTGCAGCATCACACCCCTCACACCCTCGCCCTCGCCAGTAACTTTGGACACACACTCACCACAGACACTCCTACACACCCTTTCCTCTTTCTACTTATTTTTCTTTATATAGAGCTCTTAAACAGGACCTGAAAAGCCACATCCACTTCACAGTGTTATTAGTGGTTTATACGAGTGTGAAGTGTAGATGTGAAACAAGGACCCGGTAAAGGCTACAATCTGTGGTGAAGAAATATATAGGAAAAATTAAGAACTTCCATAAGTACTTGAGGAACTTTAGTTAAGAGAGGAGTGGAAAAACAGCCAACCTCCTAAATCCATGTTGTTTTCACTCATAGAAACTAGTTATTTCTGAAATGTAATGTAATATTTGGTAATTATATGTCCCGTAAAAGACATTGGTTTAAATCCAACCCATGCTTCCTGTCCACACAGAAATAATAGCCCATAATAGCTCATGCACTCTGTTCTGCCTGTAGACAGTCACACAGTATGAAAAGAACATGGGCTTTTTAAAAATTGTTTTCTTTGTTTCTTTTCATAAATCAACAGAAATGTGTTTTATTTTATATGTGAATATTACAGTTTGTATATGGTGCCTGGATTTCTTTCTGGGTGTTTCCTGTTCAGTGTTACATCATATAAACATAAAGAAAGAGATAAATGAGCTCAGGAGAGATTGAGGGGGAGTTTTGTTCTTGTTAGTACAAACCCAAATTTCCCTCTGTCTCTTTCTCCCAGAGGGTGGAGGTCAGACCCAGGATGGCCTGTCCGTTCTCTGTTGTCGTGGCGATAGATTTTGGGACAACGTCCAGCGGCTACGCGTTCAGCTTCACACAGGACTCAGAGGCCATACACATGATGAAGTAAGAGTCTGTCTGCATGGGATTTCCCCCCCCCAATTCTATTCTCTTCTATTTTCTATTCTTGACAGCTTCTTCCTCCAACCCATGCAGGCGCTGGGAAGGCGGCGACCCAGGAGTGGCCAATCAGAAGAGCCCCACGTGTCTGCTGCTGACTCCCGATTTGCGGTTCCACAGCTTTGGTTTCGCGGCACGGGACTTCTACCACGACCTGGACCCGGAGGAGGCCCGGCACTGGCTCTACTTCGATAAATTCAAAATGAAAATCCACAGCACAAGTGTAAGAAAGAGAGCGAGAAAATACGATGAAAAGGGTGAAAATAGAAGGGTAGAAGTGCACATAATATATGTAGACTTTAAAGAGTGACTTAATACCAGGCTGAAAAGCTGAAAGTTTCAAGTCTCTTGTACCTGTAACCACACCCAACAGTGATGTCATGATGTTCTATCACTCAAGAGTACACTTTTACATCACTGCAGCAAGATGAGAAGAAAAAAAAACAATGTAGCTTAAAAAGAAACAAGATTTAACTGCTGTTAAGTTCCTATTTAAGCATCAGGGAAGACGATGTTTCAGAAGCTGTGACTGTGTCTGATGCAGGACCTCACCATGGAGACAGAGCTGGAGGCGGTCAACGGACGGAGGGTCAGGGCCATCGAGGTGTTCGCTCACGCCCTGCACTTCTTCAGGGAACATGCTCTAAAGGTAAACTGTAAAGCTCCACTTAATTATTGCAGTATGGTGTCCCACATGGTCACACATTCAATACAGTATGTGTGTGTGAATCTAGTATGTACAGTATATATGGACACACATTTTGTGCTTTGTAAACCAAGCTGTTGAGACCAAATCTTAACCCAGAACTGTTTTAGCTGATGTATTGTCATATGGTGTTGTACTGTAAGTGTTCTTAGCAAATTCAAAATAATATTTAGTGATATAAAATACAAGATGGAGTAAATCAAGAATCGGCTGGAGATGTTTGGACTTAATTTTGACAGTATTTTTCTGGATTGTGTTCCAGGAAGTGAAGGACCAGTCCTCATCAGTGCTGGAAGGAGAGGAGATCAGATGGGTGATCACTGTTCCCGCTGTGTGGAGGCAACCTGCCAAACAGTTCATGAGAGAGGCCGCATACCTGGTAGCAACGCACGCACGCACGCGTTGACAGATATTTTACATACATTAATACTTAAAGAGTCTAAAACAGTTTGTATTAAAGAGGCTCCATGCAGAGTTTATGCTTAATGTTTAAATAACACATATGCAATGAAAGTTACATCTGCACGTTTAGTGATTTTTAGATTTCCAGATAAACTGAAGGATTAAACGTGGCCTCATGGGTGGAGAAAATGTTCATACACCTCAGGCTAAATTTATTTCTATTAATCTGTATATAGATTTAATGGAGTTGGTTTATGGGTTGATTTATGGTGTAGTTTCCCTGTTTTTTTAATTTATTTTCCTAATTTTTGTATCTCTATCATACTTGTTTTTTTTTAAGATACTGCAAAGTAACACCTGATCCTTTTTCTTGGAGATACATGTTTTTCACTGGATAACAATTGTCCAAAGTGTCGTCATTGTCAGCTTCCAGTATCTGTAACAGTTTCATGTTTTATGACTAAAGAGTTTCAGTGGGTTTAACAGGTTCAACAACCTTGACTGAGTCTTCAAGACACACACACACACGTACATACACACGCAGAGGGTACCAGTAGACTCACAGTGTGTGTGTGCGTGCGTGTGAGGAAGAGGAAGAACAACAGGGAGATGGAAAGAAAGTGTATAAAGCATGAGATAAAGGCAGTCTGATTAATGTTTCCATGGAACATCACTTACACACACACATGCAGACAGAAATAACACTGGTCCTTTGCCTCTCTCCTGGTACATCTTCCCACGAACACACCCACATACACACGGCCCCTCCTTGGTGTACTGTACATGTTAAAATGACTTGTAGGAAGTGTGTACAGTGATGCAGGGGGTCCTATTGCAATACTCATCAATGAGAATGGACCGACCTGTGTGTCTGTGAGTGTGAGTCCAGTTGTGCAGAGCATATGCAACACTCCATGGGAAAGACTGTACATGACCTTCTACTCTTAATGTCATGCTTCCCTTATTTGCCTGCGCTCACGTAGTCATTATCAGCCGTCTGCCATTCACTCACTCTGGGACATACATAAATAGTCTAATGCACACACACTCTCTCATGAACGCTGACATATATGCACACACACACACCCTGTGCTGGCTCCTGGCTTGATGCCGTCAGGGTGTGTGTGCTTCCTGCTGGTGATGTCATCAGCAGCGAACAATGAGGGAGACCGGCGTACAAACACAGGAAGCTGAGTCCAGACCCCCACCCTGCGCACACACACACAGACACACATATCAACTTTACTCCCAATACATCAGGACTAATGCTTATGTACCTCCTCTCCTCTCCTCTCCTCTCCTCTCCTCTCCTCTCCTCCGTCTTTTATCCCAACACAGAAACCTTAGCTCACATCATCTTCTCTCCCTTTATGTTCCTTCATATGTTTATGTTGTACAGCTGTCCTTCAGTTTGTGTGTGTTTTACTCCATGAGTCTTCTTCTGTCATCTTTTTTTCCTCCTCATCTTTTTTTGTTGCCTTCTGAGACTTGTCCTGCACTTCATCCAAATCTCATCCTAAACTAAATAACGCCACTTTGTACGGCATCTTAAAAAAGGTTACTAAATCATGAAATCATTATAAAGAATGATACAGTTTGACCTGGAAAATCTTTGAACAACTACTTTTATTTCGTTTTTAATTTCTCCTTTTTCTATGAAACTTGTAACCATCTTTTTTTTGTTTTCTATTGACAAATTTCTTTCTTTTGTCCATGAGCCATAGTAAAGACAGAATAGAAAGAAGTAGACAAAAGAGAAAACTATAAACATACAAAATACAACAGTGTGCTGCCTTAGTGTGTATAAAGGTCTCAAATTACTGTAAGACATGGGTGACTATTACATCTACCTATTTTCTTGTGCGAGGGAAAAACTTTGCATCTCAAGGAATAAATACTTTCCAGCACATCTTCCATCTTCACTGAACACTCCACCTGTCAATCAAACTCTTTGAGCAGGTCGATTTTCTGTCTGTGTTAAGGTTAAGTATTAGCAGACAGAGCTATTTTCTTTAGTTGTGGTTTTAGTTTTTTCTTTGAGTTTTGTCTCTTCTCATTACAGAGCTGTAGACTGCTGTGAGTCGTGACTTACTTGAGACTTGACTGCAAAACAGAACTTGAACTTGGCAAAAACATTGTCCCATGTTTTGACCTGGTAAAGTCACAACTTGAGACTTTAGCAGGACTTGATCTTGACTTCAGACCTGGAAACAGTTTTAATTGCCGGCAAATTAACCGACTTGTAGCTTGGTCTTGAAGACCTGTGACTTCGACTAAAAGTCTTAAAATCAACTCCAATTATAAAACTAACAACAATGCAATGACAGTGCAACTCAGTGTCTCTATAAAACAGGGAGAAAAAAAAGATACTTAAATTCTGCTTGTAAATGTTTCTCTCTCTGTGTCTTTCTTGTCCTCTCCAGGCTGGTCTGGTGTCTCCTGACTGTCCCGAGCAGCTCCTCATCGCTCTAGAACCAGAGGCTGCGTCCATTTACTGCCGCAAGCTCCGCCTCCACCAGGTGATTGACCTCAGCATGCAGCCAATCACAAACGGCCTCGATCTGGACGGGTCCCGGCCCTTCGACTCCAGCTTCAGACAAGGTAGAGAAGAGAGAGAGAGAAAGAGAGAGAGAGAGTGTGTGTGTGTGTGTGTGTGTGTGTGTGTGTGTGTGTGTGTGTGTGTGTGTGTGTGTGTGTGTGTGTGTGTGTGTGTGTGTGTGTGTGCGTGTGTCTCCTTGTAGACTTTGTCATTAGCATAAGCATGAAACCACACTGTGTTCCTGGAAATATTGTTGTTTGATTTCACTTGGGGATTGTGGTCTTTGCTCACGATAAATCTGTGTGTGTGTTAGTGAGTGAGAGAGAGAGAGAGAGAGAGGGAGAGAGAACTGATACTAATCGTGGTTTTGCCTCAGCTGACCTACAGTTGTGTGTGTGGAGCTGTACACAGACACATATGACTTTGGACAGGCCATATGTGTCATGAGATGGAAACATGACCAGTGGGAGAAAGAGGGGGAGGAGTTCACATGAAGGGAAACATTGTGAGAGTCTTCAGCTTCTGAGGGTCCAATATTTAGCAAAGAAACTCACTTTGACTCCGTCTTCTGATTTAGGTTGCAGAGGTACAATGGAAATGTATTGCTCCTGCAGCACCAGAAAACAACAAACAAACACAACAACATAAAACAGGCTACACTAGAGTTGATTTAGCATTGTGAGGACGCATAAGGAAAGAAAGTGCATTTAAACTATTAATAAATTGTGTGTAGAAACACATCATGCCAATTAACTACGATTTAAAAACATATTTCTTCTGTATTGTGGCATTTGCTACAGCTCTAACTTGCACCTCAATCTGGCTCTTTCTATAGCAACAGTGACTCAGTAGTATTGTAGTGTTTAGAGCTGTCTGTCAAAGCGATGGCAAAATATACAACAATGAATCTTTTTTGGACACAAGAGCAAGCTGTAAAAAGAAACAACGACATATTATCACTGTATAAAGTTGTTGACGTGAATGTGTTAGCAACAGTTTCCTATGTCACATTCAACAGACACAGAAAAACATTAGGATTCATTTGGAACTGAACCACAAAAAAAAAAAAAAAAAGAGCTCTGGTTTGGTCTCCAACAACTACTTGGGGAAATATTGGCTTTGTAGCTGAAAACAACGCTGTTTGTAGCAGTGAGACTGAAGCAAAAGAGTAAAGCTGGGGACCCTAAAACCACAACAATGGCACAAAAGACAATAAAATGCTCCATAGAGCTGAGGGGATCTGCATCTAGCTATAATTCCCTGTGGGTTTGTCATTACAAGTGACTTCTTTCACAATATACATACATATATATACATTTTTTAACTGTGCAGCTTTATATATATATATATATATATATATATATATATAAATCAAATAGAGAATTTGCAGAGAGGAAAAATACTTCCAGCTCCTTTCACTTTGCAGCTCTATAGTTCATGCATCAAAAAGCTTATCTGCCAAAAGTACACCTTTTCACAATAAAAGGATAAAAGTGACAGCTTGCAAAAATTATATTGACTGAGCAGTAGATGTATTGTCATTAGCGTACAGGAACGCTGCATGGAAACAATTCAGCTACAAGCAAGGAACAAAGACCGATTTCAGACTGTGAAAAAGGAGACTGATGCATAATTCAGCAAGCGAACATGCCGTCCAAAATCCCCTGCACAGGCCCACTTATACATATGCAGTCAGTGACACACACACCAAGACATTCACACGCAAAGACACACACTATACACAGGATATTGTAATTGGAACAAGGTGCAGTGAGACCATGATCTCACCCCCTCCTGGCCTGTCATTCTCCCTCTCCTTCACTCACTTTCATTTTTCTTTCTCTCTTTTCCCTCCATCGTTCTAGCATTTGCTCTCACTCTCTTTCTCTCTCTCAAACTTTCTTTTGCCAGGTCGTACTCTTTGCATGGAGTCTGCAAACACACACGCACGCACCCGCACACATATACACTCAGCAGACATGTTTGCATACACACACACACACACACACGCTTGGCATCATGGTCATGGTTTTTACTATCTTTAGCTTTTCTTCCACCTCATTTCTTCTCCAAAGATAGCACTGGGGAGCCATTAAAAAAAAAAAAAAAAAAAAAAAAAAAAAATCACACTCTCTCACACACACACTCACACACTCACTCACACACTCACACACTCACACACTCACACACTCACACACTCACACACTCACACACACACACACACACACACACACACTTTTCTGTTTCATGTAAATGGTTTCCAGACTTGCGTTCCATTCATCACCCCCGTACAAACACACACACACACACGGATGAAATCAAGGCCTTTATGATTGTGGTGTTCTTTGTTCAGCTTCATTTACCATGTACACGTACACACACACATACACACACCCTCCTGCGTCATTCAGGGCTTTAGCACAACAGTAAGAGTACTTTGCTTTCAAGACATTGTAGGACATTGCTGCTCAATAATGTCTAATCTCAACAGCCAATCTTTCTTTCTTTCTTTCTTTCTTTCTCTACTCATGGGGTTAGAGGGAACGTAGTAAAAACCACTTTCACCTAAATTACATAAACACTTCACTCCAGACTGTCAAACCTATGACTTATGACACACACACATTCGTATATCAGGACCACAGCTTCTCCTTACAGCACTTCCAGAGAACCTGTTTTTTATGCCAGCTTCCTCCTCTCACTTCTTTGAGCTGAAATTATTTCTCATCTTCAAGCCATTACGTCTCATCTAATGTGTTCACCCGCATGTATGGAGGTGTATTTTTGCATCAGCTCTGTCAAACAGGCTGTCAGGTATATTCCGTGTTTCTGTCAGATGTGTTTGAGTGTGCTCTGCTTTTGCTGGCCCCCATCCATCCCCTTAACCCACCAGTCGAGAATGAATACAGCTGAAAAGTGAGAGTGTTCTTCATTTCCAACAAATTACTCTTGTCATGCAAAAACATTATGACTCTCATTTTGGTATGTTTTTCTTGTTTTACTTGGATTGAAAGACTTTTTTGTATTATACTCTTGTATAACTTGTTTAAACCTTATTATATGTAGTATAAATGAAAAACATTCATCTTCATTAAGATGAAAGTGGGGATGTTTCTGTTTTTGTTTAAGCTAGTGTGCATTGAATATTAAACAAGCTAAAGCGTCTGACCCTACAATGTTAACAGAAAAAGACCAAAAAATGTTTGCATGCAGGCAAAGCAGTGCGAGGTGGTGAAAGCTGGTGATGTCTCTGAGGGCCCGCAGCTGGAGAGAATCCATGAAATTATTTCATTTAGAAAAGAGGGGCCCATTGCAATATTACAGGGGGCTTGAATTTCCTTCTTGTGCCCCAGGGGCCCAGAAATCCCCACTATGCCCCAAAGCTCTCTGTAAAAGATGGCAAAATTAAAAAGATAGACACAATGTCACTTAAGGCTCACTTGATTTGAAATGCTTCAGTTTGAGTAGAATTGTCACAGTAAAGCCAATGAGGTCACTTTCTTTCTAGAAAATATAACTCTCATGTAGAGCTGACCGATTTAACTTATTTCCATCGTCATCGCGATATGAACATGTGCAATAAACACATTGTAAAGGACTGACGATAATTCTAATGATCGTCGATCACTGATACCATCGTCCATCGGCACAACCCTGGTGTGAATGCTCCCAAGACGAGACGCATTGAGGACACATTTGAGATCTGAGCACTAAGTCCACAGTCGGAGGTGGTCTGGGCTACATGTGTCCACATTCTTTTAGCAGTGTGAACGCACATGCGTACTGGGCCACATTGAAGGACCGCCTACTCTACTGACGTCCTCCGACACAGTCTGATTAGTCCCGCCACAGTTTCATAGGCCCTGTTCAGCCCTGGTGTTAGCATCCGTCACGGCTGATCCGATCACTTAGTGAACAGCTCTCTGTTCGTCAGTTCACACCTGGCTTTAAAATGCATCTCCACATGCGTCTTGATTAACCACTTGTGATCGGATCTCCGTTCCCCGCTTTATATGCAAATAAAGAGGTATGCGTTGTTGTTTTTAGCAAATCAACAAACGGGGCCGTTGTTAATGTGCTTGTGTGTGTGTGTGTGTCAAGCAGCAACCGAGAAGGGGGGGTGGTATGACCAACTACTAAATCGTTTAAATTTTATTAAAAGGCATAACGTTCTGCAGAATTGAGGGTGTGCCGCTTTGAGTGACAGACGGGTCTCGGCTCAACACGCGCCCATCCTCTTTGCCCATTTATGGATTATCCGGGAGTTCTGCGGAGTCAGGTACTGGCAAGATGGCGATGTCGGAACAGCCCACTCTGAGCTTCAAAACCACTCTTAAGAAACCTATGGGTGACGTCACGGAGGCTAAACCTAATCTTGATTTACAGTCTGTGGTGTGTGTGAGAGCGAGCGAGTGAGAGCGAGTGGGGTATGGAGGCGCTATATGAAGTGAGAAGTGAGATCCGATCACAAGTGGTCAACCAAGACGCATGTGGAGATGCATTTTAAAGTCAGGTGTGAACTGACGATTTGAGAGCCGTCCACTTGTGATCGGATCAGTGCGATATGAACACATCGTAAAGGACTGACTGAAACGATGAATTAGAAACAATAATTTTATTTACTCACGCTATGCAGTCATAGGGTTTTCAAGCAGCGCCTGAGCCAAATGAGCAGGAAAAAAAACCACCATGTTTTGGTGTCGGGCTGCAGCTTCTCACTCAGGCATAGTAGACAGCTCAGAGGCGGCAGTGGAAACCTGCAACATTACCTGCAGCGGAGGGACGAGGATGGAGGAGATGACTGATAGTGACCTTTGTCTGTGTTCTTTATTCAGCTTCGCTCAGCAAAACTGTATATGCACACTTCAATATTTGTTTATTTATGACGAGTAATATCATCAGTGCAAAATTGAACAGTCTCATTGCACATCGCAAATGTTCCTCATATCTTGAAGGCCTAATCTCATGTTTGAACTGCTAGGGGGCAGCACAAACAAGCTGCAAACACACTGACATATTAGCAACTTTTAGGTTGATATTAGTGAACTTGTTAACAATTACTTGCCTTTTTACACATGAAGCATACGCTTTAGCATCCATTTGAAGTTCTGTTTCTGGACTCGCTTGACTCATGAGAGAAATATCTGTGATCCATCCTCAATATAAAATACTGATTATAGCCACTTTAAGTACAAGGCTGAAACAGGTAGGTGCTTATGTTACCGGCACCAGACCTAGGGGAAATCTGGACAGGCAGCAAGCAGCACACAGGCGGGAGAGCACTGTGTAGCCAATATAAAGAAAAGGACTGTAGATTGAAAGAGAGAGGACCAAAGTTAGCGTCTTGAACAGACCAGAGCTTGTTTATTTCTGAGCACTATTTCATCCACTTGCTACTTAACAATCTCCACATTCTCACTAGGTACAAAGAATATTAAAACTAACATATTCCATAAATAAAACAAATAACGGTACAACCAAAACAACAATAAGTGACACAAAACATTCTGACAAAAAAAAGAAGTGCACATAAATTCAGAATTGTTCAAAACTGTTATACCCTTTTCTTCCTGTGCCAGACACATTAGCATAATATAATCCTGTTTACATTCATTCAACACTATCAAAAGTCATCCACAGACCACAACATTCACAAACACACACACTCCCTCACACTTGCACACCGTGGCGGCAGCGAACAGCATGGCGGCGAAGGTGACACTAGTCGAAATGTGGGATTTCTCCTTTCCCAATTTACTCGCTACTGGCTGGCTAACATCCTAACAACATTTACAACACTGATTACTAGCGTCAAGTACTTACACTAATAAAACAACGGTGCCTACTGACGTTCCTGTGACATTACCGTCAGCATGGCAACGCACGCTGAGACATTCTAGTACAAAAACAAACTCGCTGCAAATCTTACACACCTCAAAACTCTCTGAACACACTTCAGACAAGTACTACCAGTGCTACATGAGTTTTAGAGCCTGTAAAAGAAAATAAAAGTGAGTTTTACAGTACCTGTGGATTGGTAGAGAGGACCACGGTTTGCGTCTCGCACAGGCCAGAGCTCGTTTATTTCTGAGCTGCGCATGTGCAGAGCCTGTCACTATAATCCCTCTAGCAAATCCACAACAGCACCTTCTACTGACTGAAATGTGCATTACCTCAATATAAAGAGTACATGAAAATGTTTCAATAAAACTGAACATGTAGCCTCTTTCCAAACCACTACACTTAGTTTAGCCCAGTTTAGCATTAAGACTAGCGGGAACAGCAAGCCTGGCTCACTACATAGTGGCTAAAGTTGTGTAACAGTTCCATTGTCCATTTTCCCAGTACTTTTAAACAGCATCTCCAGCTTTGGCCCTGGTAACCTCACTGGCTACAAGAGTCCAGTTATTGCAGTCATTTGTTGTCGTTGTTGTTCTGCTTCCAGTCTTTATGCTAAACTACAATAATCGACTCCCAGCTCCAGCTCCATACCTAAAGTGTAAAACTGAGACCGATATCAATCTTCTCATCTCTCACTTGAAAAAAAAAAAGTAAAGAGAAAATAAGAGTTTCCCTAAATGTTGTATCTACAGGACGGAAAATGTATTTTCATTAAAAAAGTTATGTAAAACCAACAATATGAATCTAAGAAAATACATAATACATGAATGAACAAGAATGAAGTAAATCTGAAATGATTACTTAGATCATAATATCTGGTTTAAATGCTTATCCTGCTTATATTGTATGTTGTTGTGGCAGCTACACTGCTTAAAGTAAAATTTCACCTTGCCTCCTGTCTGAACATAGTGTACAAAACTTCTGCCTCACTGTGACTTTTTGAACTGATTTAATAACATAAATGATTTTGTATGTATATATGTGTGTGTGTGTAACAAAGATCATATCCAAAACCGAAGTATGTTGTGCACCTGTGTGTATTTAGCTTTTTGTGTGTGTGTATCGTAGCGAGGGAGCAGTTGAGGCGATCCAGACACAGCAGGACCTTCCTGGTGGAGAGTGGAACTGGAGAGCTGTGGTCAGAGCTGCAGACTGGTAAGGCCCTGTGTGTGTGTGTGTGTGTGTGTGTGTGTGTGTGTGTGTGTGTGTGTGTGTGTGTGTGTGTGTGTGTAAGAGAGACCGAAGGACCCCACATGTCGGAGATATTGATGATTTTGACCTTTAACCCCAGCAGGCTGTCTGTGAGAAGCAGCCACACCTACTTTCACATTTCTACTAACCCTCAGATTTTCCTTCCTAAGTATCACCTCCTCTTTCTCCTCCATTCACTGGGTTTTCATTACGTTCAGGATGGTCACTGTGACTCCTTATCTACAATATCTGCACTGGTTGTTTGTATTCAAAAACCAAACCACATTTTTGTTAAATAGCCAGTTGCTATTTGCCTTTTGGCTTAACCACATCATAACCAACCTGCCACACTTTACTATAATGAAAATGTCATAGAGAGTACCAGCATGGAGTCTGCAGTGTGCCACAAAAATATTATACAGTTTAACAGTTCTAAAATGAAAGTATCAGACATTTTATTCAATTTTTAAATTACATATAAAGTCAATTATGATGATTTAATAATCAAACGTTTAAATGCCATTGCCTATAGAAACACTAATAAGGCTAAAGCAACTCAAGGTCCACTTACAAGCTTTTCCCAAACTTTCTCAAACTCCATGACAACTGAGCAAATGGAATACAGTGAACTTTGGTTGAAAGCTCTGGAAAAGAAAAAAAAATGTAAATCAAAATACAGTTCCTGGCGCTCTTACTGTGTGGTACACTCGAGGTTCCATACAGAGCCAATTTTGAGAATGAAGTCGTAATGTTCTGAGAAAAAGATAAAAAGTATATAATACAATAAAGTATTATTTTTCAAGAAAGGACTTTTACTCAGCCAGTTTCTACAGAACCAAACACGACTATTTCACAACCATAAAACTTGCTCCCAGAGATGATAAATTCCAAACTAGGGACAATCAAACTCATCTATTTTGCTGGTTTTGCACACAGACTTTTCTCTCTCTTTTGAACCATGACAAAAATCTGAGGAGCCACGTGTCCCTGCTGACCCTTTCTGCTCCCTTTCCTGTCCACACACACACACACACACACACACACACACCCACACATGCACACACAGGAAGGACCCAGCCCATGGGACTCTCTGCCTCTGCACTGCAAGTAAACCAAAGGAGTAGAACCCCTGTTTTACTCTCCTTCTCCTCCATTTTCTTCTCTCATCCCTTCTTGTATTTTTCATTTTTGTTCATCTATTCCTTCCATTCTTTCTCTTTCTCACCCGCTCATATACGACCTTATATGCTCTTGAGTTTAGGGCGTGGTCAGCCGTACCAGGGTAAAAGCAGCCTGTACTGCTGATCGTATCATACACAAACACACTCACAGAGGGAGTGCAGCGATCACAGATGCCTGAAGGTTGTTTATGAGAGAGTCCGCTGGTTGAAGAGTTTCAGGGGAAACACACACGCACACACACTGGAAACATTCCACAAAAATTAAGACACATTATCCTTCACAATGGGTTCAAACTGATGAGCTTTATCAAGAACAACAGATTTAATGAACTAAATTTGTGTGTGTGCTCTCTGTGCGCAGGGGACAGGTATATTGTTGCAGACTGCGGAGGAGGGACTGTTGACCTGACTGTCCATCAGATCGAGCAGCCACAGGGAACACTGAAGGAGCTCTACAAGGCTTCAGGTGCAGTTTCTTTGCAATCTTGCAAACACAAAAATTTCCAGCAGTTTCCAACGCTCTACTTTCTCTCCCAGGCGGCCCGTACGGGGCTGTCGGTGTAGACCTGGCCTTCGAAGCCATGCTGTGCCAGATCTTCGGCGAGGACTTCATCCAGAGCTTCAAAGCCAAACGTCCGGCGGCCTGGGTGGACCTCACCATTGCATTCGAGGCAAGGAAGCGGACGGCGGCGCCGGGCAGGGCCAACGCCCTCAATATCTCCCTGCCCTTCTCTTTCATTGATTACTACAAGAGACACAGAGGGCAGAGTGTGGAGGCCGCCCTGAGGAGGAGCAAGTGAGTGTGGGCTGGAGGAATGTGGTGTGTGTTTGTGTGTTTGTGTGTGTGTGTGTGTGTGTGTGTGTGTGTGTGTGTGTGTGTGTGTGTGCATGACAGAGATGATAGATGAGTGGGTGAGCAAACAGTTTTAACAATGGAGTGATTTTGTGCAGCATCTGTCACAGTAAAGATTCAAACTCTCTCCTGTGTGTGTGTGTGTGTGTGTGTGTGTGTGTGTGTGTGTGTGTGTGTGTGTGTGTGTGTGTGTGTGTGTGTGTGTCAGCATGAACATAGTGAAGTGGTCGTCCCAGGGGATGCTGCGACTGACACAGGAAGCCATGACCGAGCTCTTCCAGCCCACCATTGTCAACATTGTCAAACACATTGGTGAGAAACACACAAGAAGACACAGCCCCAAAATGCAAAGTTTATATGGGTAGAGGGAGATGCCAACCTTTTGGTGAAATTAACCTGTGAAGACAAGTTCATCATACTTAAACCTCCACTAATCACTAGATAGCTGCTCATTAGTACAGCTGTAAGTTACAGAGATGGGAACTGGGTCTGTCTTGACTGTCTCTGTCCAATGTCACAGGGAGTTGCCAGAACTGTCAAAAATACAACACATAGTGCAGTTTTCATCTACAGCTCAGACAAACAAAACAGAATTTAGTCATAATGGCTTTGTTGGTATCTTGTTCTAGATGACAGTGACCTCATTTTTTACAGCCTTGTCAAGACACAAGACAGAAATACTGAGAGTGTCTGTTTTAAATCACTCACATTCCAGTGGTGCATTTAAAACCAAGGGCCGGTTTTCCAGCATTTAGCATTGCTGGTCTTCACTGACTAAACATAAGACAAAGAGTGAAAGGCGAAAAAAATGAGTTTTACACATTTTAAGTTGAAAAAATACCAAGTTTAGCTGATAGAAAGGAAGTAATGATGGCTCACCTGGTATCACACAGGCTTAGTCCTAACCGCAATGGCCATGGGTCGGTTTGAGACCGACCCATGGCCCTTCGCTGCAGGTCATCCTCTCTCCCTGACTTTCCTGTCTATCTCTCACTGTCCTATCAGAATAAAGGCAAAAATGCCACCAAAAAATAACTTTAAAGAAATCAGTATTCCCCCATGAAACATCCAGACTCATGATACACTTACTGTACCACTACTCCCCATCTTTTCCTTTCACATGAACGTAAACACTTTGCTCACACAAAAAAAAGTGAACTTCTTTTAAAGATCTCCCTCCCACCCTCTCCCCCTGACAGAGGAGCTGATGGTGAAGCCAGAGGTGTGCGGTGTGCGCTTCCTCTTCCTGGTTGGAGGCTTTGCAGAGTCGCCCATGCTGCAGAAAGCAGTCCAGAAGGCCCTGGGGCGGACGTGCCGCATTATCATCCCCCATGATGTTGGCCTGACCATACTGAAGGGTGCCGTGCTCTTCGGGCTGGATCCCACCGTGGTGAGGGCTCTGGAGTAAGCTACCTTAGTTAATGCAGGAGTATGTCTTTAACACATGATCTAACAATCTCTTTCTAACAGGTCCGAGTGCGCCGATGCCCCTTGACCTACGGTGTTGGCGTGTTAAACCGGTTTGTGGAGGGGCGCCACCCTCGAGATAAACTCCTTATCAAAGATGGCCGCGAGTGGTGCACCGACATCCTCGACCGCTTTGTCTCTGTCGACCAGTCGGTGGCTCTGGGCGAGGTCGTAAGGCGCAGCTACACCCCTGCTCGTCTGGGCCAACGGAAAATCATCATCAACATCTACTGCAGCATCACAGACGATGTTACATACATCTCTGACCCCGGTGTCAGGAAATGTGGGACGATAACGTTAGACCTACCAGAACCTTTACCACTACCGGGAGCAGTGGGAGGAGCAGGAGGAGGAGGAGGAGGAGGAGGCCCAGAGAGGAGGGAGATCAGAGCGACCATGCAGTTTGGAGACACAGAGATCAAAGTCACGGCTGTTGACGTCATGTCTAACCGCTGCGTCCGGGCTTCCATAGACTTCCTGTCTAATTGAGGAGGAGCAGGAAGTGGAGACGAGGATCTGAAAACAGAAATAACTGATTCCAAGAATGATAATCTTAGAAAAAGCGGTACTTTGGGAGTGGGGCTCAAATATTTTTGGAAGGACGGGGGCGTTGCATTAATAGAAGAAACTCACACCTCATAATTCAGACATTTAGGATTTACATTTAATCATTAGAGCATAAAAAAAATCATGAAAGTCCTAAAAAGAATTTATATTCGATTGAACTGTAGGGTGCCCTCTCTGCATGGGAAAGAAGAAATGAATTTGTCTGGCTTCAGTGGCGAGTTTGTCATGTCACGCCATATAAATGCTGTCACAGGCATTTCCTGCCCAGAAAATATTCTGAGTACCACATGTGTGAAACCAAATGCAAGCAGAGGGCTGAATACAAATCTGTAGTGCAGTGAGACAAACAGGTACCATCAAATGATTCAACCTGTCTGAGGAGTATTTCAATAACACTTACCTGGAGAGACTCTACCTGAAGCAGCAAACTACCTAGAGTGAGACTCACTCGTGTATGTTCAGTGCTAAATATTAGGAATGTTGCCTTTTCCCTCACATAATTAATGATACCTCATTTAAATCCTATTTCAACCTTCATATATGATGTATATGATGTTCATATATTGATGCTACGACCTGGACTGCAGCTTTGTTTCTCCTATGTCGATGATTGTGCACCGCCTAGTGGTGAAAAGACTGAACTACTAGCTGAGAAAGCACCTTGGAATATAAACACTCCAGGGATAAAAATCAAAACACATTAAAGAGGCATATATTGGGAAGGACCGTGGCATTATTACATACTTTGAACTTACGAAGTTTTAGAAAGTCATGTTTCACCCACATCCACGTCTAAAAGAAGTTTCAGCATTTGTGTTACCCTACACGGGAACATGTTTGGGATTATCTGATTTCTTTTGTCCATATCAGGATGAGACTGTACAACAGTTGTTTTATTTCAAATGTTTCAAAATCTACTGCAACATTAAAGCTGTATTATTAGATTTTTTTTTGGCCACATAGGGGCAATGGATCAAGCTGTAAATGCAACATTGATATACCCTTATCAAGTTGTTGGCATTCCTGGGGAACTATAGAGTTGGTTGAGCAGTGAGTGACATCTTTGTCATTACAATTAGTGACTTGATCCATAATATAAAATATTGATTAGTGCAGCTTTAAAGTGAGTTTCTGTAGGAAGAAAGGTGGATGGGTGAAAGTGTTGGTTATCAATTGTACCACCTAGTCATCACCCTGTCATGTTTAAGTCAGGAAATGATGTTTTTATGTGTATACTGTATTAAACTGTATCCATGTTTATGTATAAAGTAATATCATAAAACATATGACCTATGAGTGTATTGATACACTATCAGTCAACACAGTGTGATTTAAGCTGCGAATTTATTGATAAGAATGGTCCGATAAATAGTTTCACACAGCATAACCAATGACAAACGGTTCAGAACTGCTCAACATCCTATCAGTGCTTTACTCTCCATGTTACATAGTTTGTCACGTAACAGAAAAAAACCAGATTAGAAATGACGGCTCCTTCAGGTCAGAGAGGAAGAGCTGACCCTGAGGGGACAGGAGTGTGTTTAATTCAAAACCAAGGGGGATTGATCTCATTCTTCTTGTATTTCAGAATCATTTCTCAGTAAAACGATCACAGGTGGAACGATAACAGCGCGTGAAATTTTAAACAGACGTTAGCAAGTCAAAGCTTCAGTAAGAAAAAAAACAAGGACAACACAAGAAATGTCAGCCATCTTTGACAAAGTCCAAAGAATCTGTCTTGAAATTACTAGACGAACTTCTCTTTTCCCCCGTTTTGTTTGTTTCACTACACCTGCCATTTGTAATGTGTCTATGACTGGTTAGAAAACCTCATTTTATCTAGAATTCAAATCCAAATTCAGGTCAAACATGTCAAGATACATTCAACGCAATCTTTGTTTAAATGTAACCTGATCTACATTTAGATTTTAAGTCCAGTTTAAAATGGGGTTTTGTTCCTGCTTCCTCTTAGTGAGCATGGGGTCTCCCACGGCCTCTGCCCCTGCCGCCACCTGGAGGTCCGTCCATAGAGCTGCGGGGGTTTTTGATCGTCTCATCGACCGACAGGATGAGGCAGGCTGCCTCTGAAGCTGCTGTCAGAGCGTTGATGCGCACGATGGACGGCTCCCAGACACAGGAAGCAAAGTTGTCTGCAATGTCCTCACTGTTGATGTCCACGCCGTACCACATACCGCCCTGCAGTGAGATAAGAGAGATGAAGCTACACCTTTCAAACTGAAGGCCATAAAAGCGCCCTTATGCCAACGCTCACCTCCCCCAAGTGTTTTAGGATTAGGTATGCGTGTTTTCATGTCCTACCTGTGCGTGTTTGGCGCGCAGTTTGTTCAGGATGTTGGTGGCGTCAAAGCCGGCGTTGTCGCACAGCTGTCTGGGGATGATCTCCAGGGCCTTGGCGTACGCTCCAATCAACAGCTGCTGTTTTCCAGGGATGGTCCTGGAATAATCCCGCAGGTACTTTGACAGCTCCATCTCTATGGCTCCTCCACCCGCTACAATGGAATCATTCTGGAAACAGTGGTTAAATACAGTCAGCTTACTGCCCTCGGTGAATTAAAGTTCTAGATCCAATACATATTGTAAAGATCGACCAAACAATGAGGCTTATCCAAATAAAAAAAAAGTGATTTAGAAGTCAGGCATACTGCTATGTTGATTTAAACCACGTCTGAGCCAAATCTGTCATTTTCATCAAAAATTAAACAGATTTGGGGAAAATTCTAAGTAAGTGATCTCTGTGTGATGCACCCCTCTCCTGACTGGTTCTTGAATCACATTCCTAATTATCCACTTCTACCCAATAATGCCAGAGTCCACCATGTGCAACACACACTGAATTCTTAACATTATGGCAAATATCTAGCATTAGCATAAAATCTGATGTTAATAAATGACACCAGCCGGAAATGGCAATGAACTTTAACAACTTATGTTACTAACTAAACTTTGCCTGGTCACAGGCAATGGCTCAAACAATAAGTTGCTTGATTCTCAACAACTGTGCCCATGTTGCAGTATCGCAAATGTTGAATTATGTGGCCAACGAACCAAGATTCACATAATCAAATGATCTTTATTGGCCATTTTCTTTTTTTAATTTAGCTCAGCCAATTACAACTCACACTACACGAAATGTACAGTGTAAAACAAAATCATAGTGTAACAAATCTTGATCGAACCTGAATCTCCCTGCTTTGTTTTAAATATACTACACGTTCCCATAAATTTAGCATCAAGGATGGAAGAATTATCAGGTGGAGAATAAAATAAACAAAACCCAAACTAAAAAACCTGCAGATCACTTTTGTACCGTCACAAGACTTACATTTCACACAAATATATCTTAATAAACACAACATGGTGTATAGGTGGAATGAGCAGTAACACAGTTCTGATAATTAATAAACAGCATTGTGTTCTCATATAATGAGCCTTCTTGCAAAGCTGCTCACATACGCTGCACATGTCAACTGACCTTGATGGCTCTGCGTACGATCATGATGGCATCATGCAGCGATCGCTCCGTCTCCTCTGTGAACTGCTCGGCGCCGCCCCTCAGGATGATGGTGCACGTCTTCGCCTTCGGGCAGCCTTTAAAGAAGTTATACCTGCAGACACAGACATGATGGGTGTGAGCTGTGGGACTGAAATGATTCACAGTTTCCTTTGTTAAAACCTAACTAGCGCCTCTTTACCTTTCTCCTCCGACCTGGACCTCCTCAAAGAGTTCACACTGTCCCAGGACGTCGTCTGTCATAGCTCCTACTGAGGTCTGAATGGAGCCACCGCAGGCCTGGAGGTCACATTACACACAGTCAATCACTAATTTTTCAAGCTTCTTTCAACATCAACATCAAAATGTGCAACAGAAGGCCTATACTGTATGTCTGTGTGAGACTTACCACCATGGTCCTCCGCAGGTCCTCCTCCTGCACTCTGCCGGCACAGAACAGGTCTCTGTCAGCGAAGTACTGGGTGGCCACATCACCGATCGGCAACTTTGACAAAACCACCTTGGCTCCAGACTTATAGATCTTCTCCAGTTTGTCGTACAGGATGTTCCACTCTGCGTCCACGATGGCCTGGTAGTCCTGCAGAAACGGAGACAAAAGAGGAAACAATAAAAACTCATACACCACATACAGACTTTCAGGTAGATGTTTGATGCTGTGTTGCAGTCTTCATACCTCAACAGATTTCACGCGGACCTCAGCGTTATCCTTCTCAGCCTTCAGCTCCAGCTCCACATTGAGCAAAGCGATCTTTGGATTCTCGTAGCGCTTAGGCTGCATCTCAAACCCAGCGTAGGAGAAGGTCTTCTTGAACGCAACCCCAGAGATCAATTCGGAATCCTGTACAGATGGAATATAGAAAATTTGAGGAGGAAGAATTTGAAATAGCAAAATTAACAAGGAGCAAACGGGGAGGGAAGAGGAGATTATCCTTACTTTTTTGCTGCTTCTTTAAATATTTAACCACATTTTAAAATGTTCTCATCAAGAATCATATCTCTAAGTGCTGAACTCAAGGTACAAACCTCAAGGCCTCCTCCCTGGACCTTCTTGATGCCAATCATCTTCAGAGGCAGCAGCTCGTCCAGAGACATGACAGCATCCACCACCATCTTGGAGAAGAACTCCTTCTGACCAGCAATTAGCTTGGAGTTCAGGGCTGTGGCTGCACACTTCTCCAACAACTGCATCTGCTCTCTGAGAGGAAAAACGAAAATGTATAACTAGACCAGTTTCTAAAGCTCAATTTAACTGCAACTTAAGGATACCATATTAGTACAGATCAAACTTCAAACACTACATGGCTGCCACGCAAATAAGTTGTCACAGTGAAACTGAGCACTCACTGTTTATCATCTTTCTTCACAGAGACGGCAATCTCCTTGATCTTGCTAACAGCGAGGTGGGTGGCGGTGCGGAAAGCTCTGATGATGGTCTGAGGGTGGAGACCCTCCTCCACATACGGCTTCAACTGCTTCAGGAACTCAGCAGCCAGGAGAGTGACAGAGGTGGTGCCGTCCCCAACCTGAGGATGGTGCCAAGGAAACAAAGATGTTGTCATTTCTAGTTTGTGTCAGATTGCAGATGTCCACGCCCCATGATTGACTCAGAACCTTAAACACACACACACACACACACACACACACACACACACACACACACACACACACACACACACACACACTTCTCACCTCAGCATCCTGGGAGCGAGCGATGTCAACCAGGGTCTTGGCTGCGGGGTGAACCACATCCAGCAGTTTCAGGATGGTGGCTCCATCGTTGGAGATTGTGGCCTTACCTGGAAAACATAACATTCACACATTTGTGATAAAGGAGTTGTAGACCAACGAGTCCTGAAATCCATTCATTGTTCAACCGTCTCTCCTCACCTCTGCCATCCACCATCAGTTTGTCCATCCCTCTGGGCCCCAGGGTGGTCCTGACAGCCTCAGCAATTACCTGGGAGGAAAAAAGCAGGCACACTTAAAAAGATATAATGACAGAGTTAAATGATGCCACAAACAGGAATTAATAAATATACAAACAATCAATGAGAGAAGGGCTAGTTTTCTGACCTGGCAGGCATTGATGTTACTGATGAGCTGGGGAATGCCCTGAGACGTGTCTGTCCCCTCCTTCAGCAGGATAACCGGTGTGGGCTGGAAGGGAGAGGTGGATAAATGAAGTGAGAGGAAATAGATAGTTCACAGAAAAAAAAGTAAACGATCCAACAGTTTAATCCAAATTTATTAAAAAAACTCAATATTACTTGCACACCTATGCAGCCACAGTTAGCTTCCTCATGAACATCACAAAACACAGAATAGCAGAGGTATCAGTGAAAAGTTTGACTATGAAAGTTTAGTTGAAGTACAAATATAGATAGAGTAAAGGGTATAATATTACAGTCCAGCATTGAGTCAATATTACTGTTCATCATCCTTCAATGAAATCCTAATCTAATCATTGAATTGTAAATAGCAAATGAATACAAAGCAAACACTTCATTGAATAATAGATAAATATTGCCATATTGTGAGATACATTACAATGTCTAAAAAAATCAGTCTTATTTTGTAATTATATTTTATTCAGGCATTTCACTGTGCTTCAGCACAAACATTTGACCTAAAATGGTAAAAGCCACACATGCTGAGGCTGCTGCTGTAGCTGTAAGGTGTGATGCTTTTGTTACCCACTGTCAAACGCAAGCTGTCTGTTTACAGTTTATATTACACTGCTAATTTTGGCAGACTATATGTCTCAGCTCCTTCTTAAAGCCTTACATTACACATCACTATTTTCAGAAAACTGGCTGGTAGATCTCTGCTAATGAGAGCTACACAGTTTATTAACTTCTGTATTGTTAAGGCCTTTGTCTATGACTCTGCATCATCCAGAATCAATCATAAGATGCTCAATCACGAGCCAAACACTGAAACAACCATAGCAACAAATTAAAGACAGTGGTCTATTTAGGACAGCTCTTTGCTCTTCAGCAGTAAAACAGAAATGTCTCCAATGCAGCCATTCATACAAAGAGACTTACTATACTACAGCTAACTCACCCACAAGCTAACACCGCTGCAATGACAGACGCTATTCAGATTTACGACATAAAAATACAATCAACTGTTCTTAAAATACAAGTTCAAACTGTAACCAACTGAGAATAGTTTCTTTAATATACAGTAATTGCTGATATGTTAGCTAGCATCACCGTTAGCATCGTATACGCCCATTGATACCGGGTATTCCTACGATGCTAACACAGTCTGGACAACAATCAAGTCTTTCAATATATAATTTTCACAAAATAACTGCTTCCCCAGTCTGCCAACAGATAGTCAACTAAACTGAGAGTGGTACAGATTCAAATGCTGGCAGACGAACTGCACGATGGACGTGGATTGTAAGTTTGAGTTTGGAGCATGTATGCTAACTCACTCACCATCATCTTTGCAGTTTGTTCGAGAAGCTTTCCACCGGCAACTCAACCCACAATGCTTTTCGAAAGCGATAGCCGCTGGGGGTGCGTTCAAGATCAGGGCTGCAATATTTAGTGAACGATTTGAAATTTTCTGAAATAAAACACAGACATATTGTCAAACAAGTTTCAATTGTGCTATCAAATGCTGTTTTAAAAAAAAATCACGAGCATTGAGTCTCAAGGTGCTCATTATTAAATAAACATTATGGAACAAATAATCATGTGTTTGAAATACATAAATGAACCGATACATTTTAAAATAATAATAGCTCATTATTATTAAATGTTATTTCTTGATTCTTAATTTATTGAAAAATTTCTTTCAACATAAATGTCTTTTTCATCGTGTCACTTTCCATTTATTTATTGTTGCAATTATCAATTTTCCATAATTTATGTATAGTAATATTTGTCATTTAATACTGAGCATTTCAGGGTTTCCATACACTGGTATACACACAGTTTGTTTAATTGCATTCTTAATAAAGGTCTGGATGATACAGTATATTGTCATGTATTGACATCATGGTATTGTGACTAGATATCCTCTGAGATTTTGGTCATTGTAATATCAGGATGTTGCTTAAATATTATTTTTGCTGGTCATCAATGATGGGATTTTCTCATTAAAATAAATTAAATGGACAATAAATTAGTCAATTTGCTTACTGATTGGTTCTTACAATGTTACTGTATGTAGATATCTTTTGAAAGCTCCAATTAATGTCCCTAAAGTACTGACATTTAATCAGCATTAAGGTTTGTGTTTGTTTTTGTCAAATAGAATCCTATGTTAGTATATTTAATTCCTTGTGGGTTATAAAATGATTCTTTTTTAAAGCAATGTGACATAACATTGTAGGTTGTGTCATACTGCTTAAGTAACGCAATAATGTATAGAGAGTTCAGCACACACATATGCACAGAGATGCTCATATGGCATAGTTTTCATATACATTAACATGACATATTGAATACGCAGTCTGTCTTTGCATACTGTGCTGGGGAAAAAAAAACATTGCAGAGAAAATTTGCATTTCTTTGAGGTACAATGATCCTGTTGTATAGTGCATTAGTAGAGGATGAGATAACAAGTATTATCCAACTGTATAATTATTCCACTGTGGCGTTTTCGCTTCTGCATGTTGTTATATAGTGTATTGTTTTCCCTGTGTATTGAAGCGCAGATCAGGAAGCTGGATTCACATTACCACGTCTCAATAATGTTTATATCACATAATTGCAGTCAAGTCCAGTTGGAATTAGACTTAAAATGCATGTTTGAATTTGAATTTTGAAATTTAGCCAAATTCATAAAACCAAAAATAATGTGTCTTTACTTTTGCTTTACTCCGGATTGTTGCTGCAAAAAACATTGCAGCATTTCCACCTTTACAACTTTTGGGCCTCATAGGGTCACAGTTATTGTCTCTTATAAAGCAGACAATAATAATAATAATAATAATAATAATAACAATAACAATAACAATAACAATAACAATAACAATATAAAGCAGAAATAAATGATATAAAACCCCAGGCAATCCTACCACAAAAAAAAAAAAACAGTAATAAATTTAGTGACAGACTTTATTTTGGATCATGCGTTTCAATGAAATCAGTTCAGCCCAAATGTTTATTATCATTCCTTTGACAGCATCGTCTCAACATGGATCACTGTACTGCAATCTTCTGAAAATAACAAAGAGCATATAGTGTTATGACATTTTACTACTTGCTGCTAAAGCCATTAAATAAATGAAAATGTGCATTCAGGAAACCCTTTTATTAAAGTTACAATGTTGGAACCTTTGAGTAACACATCATAATTTGTGTTTAATTTATGTACTATATTCGCCCCTTTAACATTTTTCAGTTAGAATTAGGAAAGCATCAAAATAAGGGTTAGGTATTTACCAAATTATAATCACATTTTCCCACAAACCCCTTCAATTTTTCCATCTGCGTTTCACTCCTTCAACCGCTGAACAAAATATTGAAGAAATGTGTTTAAAGCATTTATCCTGCAGTCAGAAAATGACTGGGCTAATAAGTATCTCAAGTGTTTTGTGAGGTCATAAATGGCAGCCTGCCCAGTCTGTGCAGGTAGAGCAGAGGCTGCAGAGAACTACAGCTGGCTGCAGCAGCTAAAGCCATGGCCATATACTGACACTTGAGGGCACGAGCTGAAACCAGTTCACCCAGAGGCAGGCAGATGATGAAGGGGAGGTAGTTGAGTGTGAGGACAGCCTGGATGATGACAATGGTGATGAAGGCTTTCCTCTTTGTGGAATTCATCTCTCCTTTTCCTCTCAGCTCACTTCTCCCAACTTCCTTCACCTTTTCTTCCCTCTGGCTGCTCTGTTGTTTTTCCCTCTCCTCACTCACTACTTGTCTCCCGGTTTTGTGAGTCTTTCTTCTCTCTTCAGGTTTCCTGTCCTTCTCTGTCATCTTTCTGTCCCCTGGTGGAGGTTTCTTAAGCGTTTTGAGAACAGACAGGCTGCAGAAGGTGTCTATGACTAGAACAGGGAGGAACACCACACACACTGTGATGGAAGAGCGCTGAACAAGAGAAGCTGACGTTATCAGGATATTAATGCACCACAAGACACCCAAACAGCCCCATCTGTACTGAGGTGCATTGTACCTGAAAGGGAAGGGAAAAAGGACAGATCAGGCAACACAAACAACCACATCAAATCTCTAATCAAGTCAAAAGTCTTCCTGAGCAAATTGCAAGTGAAAATGCAAATCTGATTGTAACATGCACTCACAACCCAAAGCATATTCATTTTTAAGTCTATTTTCTACCATTTTTAACTACAATAAATGTGCACTGGATTCTGAGCACTGCCAAATCATGGGTGACCACGAGAGAACAAAGAGCATCAATGATCACAGCATCACATACCCTTTCAAATCAGATGGTAAATCAGAGGCTATGAGTTTGTAACACAGGCTCCACCGTCGCCATCTTGGCAGCCTCTGACTCCACCTAACTCCTGGCTTTTCCGAAAATGCATGCACAAACCTTCCATTTGTATGTGTGTGGTTTTCAAGGCTGTGTTGTTATTGTAAAGCACTTTGGGCTGCATTGTTTGCATGAAAGGTGCTATATAAATAAAGCTCATTCATTTATTAAAAATGGGCAAAGAGGTAGGGCATGTGTGGAGAAGAGATTTCAGTGCATTCCAGTTATAACTGTTATAAAAACCAAATTTCTACATGTGTACGGACATGTACTTTGTATGTAGTTTTTACCTTTGGTAGTGGAAGGGTCGTACCACAGCCATGTACCTCTGCACGGACACCAGACAGAGGAGCAGCGGCTTCATAATAAGCACCATGGAAGTCAGGAAGGTCACCACAGCCAGCACAAAGTTACTCTGCCACAGGAAGTGATTGATAAAGAGCACAGGCATGACCAGGTAGAAGGAGAGCTGGGTGAGGGCCAGGTGGAGAGGGAAGAAGTCTGCAGGCAGGACACCAGAAATCTTTGACCTTTAAATTGAACAAATCATAAATAAAGCTGTAAGCATCAGAATGACTCATTCAAATCATAAAAATGTCTGCCCTCTCTTTCTATTCTTTATCTATCAGATCATTCAATTGAAGCTGCATTATGGGACAAAGTTGCTGTACATGTTGCATCACAACGTTACGTTACATTTTCCTGAGGATGTGACTGATGAGCCAAAGGTTTGACGGGGTGCCAACAAGGAATTCGAAGGAGTAGGTGGTGAAGAGGATGAGGAGGCCTGCCGAAGCTCCTACTAATTTACCATCATTTTGGTTGCACTCTGTCCAGAAATACCCTGAAGCTGAGGATGAAGATTCATTCATACTGCAGGCGAAAAACAATGGCTGGAGAGAGAGATAAGAAATCAAAGAATGGAAAGTAAATCATCAAATCTGCTCAGATTACTAGATTATCTCTAACCTGCACAGTTTCCCCCAGAAATTATTCTCCTCAGTATAAAGAAAAACTGAAAAAACCTGGAGCCACCACATTTCTTAATGATAGTATTATATGTTCATATTTGTTCATAATTTATCTACAAATTATGAATATGTTATGAAGTAGCTGTAACAAACCTTTCAATTTGGAGGTCGAGTAGTCCACTGAGGGCAGCTGAGTTTGCTGCTTAGGTTGAGGGTATGTTTGGAAATGAGACTACCTTCACAAATATTTAGCATGACAGACGTTGTGTAGATTTGCATGAAAATGGCGTAACCCAGCTATGTATATGTCGTGGTCTGACTGCACACATATGATATATGTACTGTATCTATGTATAAGTTTGTCTTTACTGTACATAAGTGTTTTTTTCCCCTTCAAACAGTAGCCAGTGAAAAGCAATTGGTTTCAGATAATTTCTTGGTAATGCAGATATATAGTAGAGGATAAAACAGGCTGCAGTCCCAAGAAACTATCCGAAACCAGCCCCATTTCAATGATACATTTGATTGCGTGATAGTATGGCTTTTGTTCTACACACTCTTGCAAATGTATTTCTAAAGTTCTCACTCACAGGTTAGGCAAGTTACTTCGTATGGCACCCTTGCACAACAAGGGGAAGTGCTTTACATAAGATGACGCATACAATAAACACCGTGAAATACAAAAAGGAACATATGAATAGATTTTTAAAATCAAACCAAATCAAAATGAGTTAAAATCGAATAAGATATAATAAATTAATAAAAAATAGCAGTGGATTTACAGAACAATGAATTTATAGGCCCGAATAAAAGTGGTGACAGGTGTTCTTGAACGCAGCTTCTCATACGTCTCGCAGGGGCTGCTGACTGCAGGCCTCTGATTGGCTTATAGTTTGTGAGTCACCAACTACAGTGTACTCGATGTATGTATAAGGGTATGCCGTACGGGCGCAGCTCTCGTTTGTTGGCAATGTATTCGACAGCACAGACTCCGCCTGTGAATATACCCTAAACAGCAAATCATGCGCACACAATCTGTGACCCAGAAGTCGCGCGGAGTTTAGAAACTGTATACATAGCGGTG